GAGACCCTCACCTGTCTGGACCCGAACACCCGAGACCCTCACCTGTCTGGACCTGAACACCCGAGACCCTCACCTCTCTGGACCTGAACACTCGAGACCCTCACCTGTCTGGACCTGAACACCTGAGACCCTCACCTGTCTGGACCTGAACACCTGAGACGGTAAAGGACCTTCTCCTCCTCCGCTCCTGTTTCCTGGAATATCTTGTAAAAAGACCTGAAGCTCTCGACCTTTGACCTCTCTAAGTGTCTTCAAACATCTGTTCGGTTCCTGCAGATGTTCCTGTTTTTAGTTTTTTATATTTTATAATGTAGCTGCTTTGTTTTTGTTTTGTAATATAATTTTCTTCCATTTATATTCATACGTGTCTTTTATGATTGTCCACTGTTGTCCTCACTCTGTTAAACCAGGTGTCTCTGTAAACGAGTCCTCGAGGCTCAGTGGGACTCACCTGCAGAAATAAAGGTTGAATGGATGAATGTTCAGGCGTATGTTGCGTCCAGGTGGTGTTCCAGGTGGTGTTCCAGGTGGTGCTCTGAAAACTTTGTAGGGTTTGTAAACATCTGGAGTGCATTTTGGAGAAAACCTGGTCTGATGTGGAGAGATGGAAACCATCCCACCTTCAGTGGAGCAGAACTTCTCTCTAAAAACTGATCTGATCCAGTTGGACCTTCAGGTTGTTGACAATGGTCCAGTCCAGGAAGCAGACTTGTAGTCCTCCACACCTGCTGCTCCTCTGATCACCCTCATTACACACAGTCAACTCACCCACGGCTCAAACTAAAGTCTGCTCTAAAATATAAAACGTAGAAATCTGATTAAAATTAACAGTTACTTCCATCCATCATCCATCATCCATCCATCATCCATCCATCATCCATCCATCATCCATCCATCATCCATCCATCATCCATCCATCATCCATCCATCATTCATCCATCATCCATCCATCATTCATCCATCATCCATCCATCATTCATCCATCATTCATCCATCATCCATCCATCATCCATCCATCATTCATCCATCATTCATCCATCATCCCTCATCTTTTACCTGCTTCTTTCATTTTGGGTCACGGGGGTGACCCAAAATGATATAAACTTTTCCTTTGACCTTTGCTGACACCCTTTTGTCTCAAATCACTGCTGAAACTTTTCTCCATCACTCCATCCTGCCTGGACTCTCTCCTTCACCTCTTCACCACACTCCCCATGTTCCTGGACAGTGGACCCCAAGCCCTTGAAGTCCTGCACCTTTGTGACCTCAGCTCCTTGTAGCCTCACTGTTCCACCTCCTCCCTCTCATTCACACATGGACTCTGTCTTACTACGACTGACTTTCATTCCTCTTCTTTCAAGTGCATACCTCCACCTCTCCAAGTTCTCTTCCACCTGTTCCCTGTTCTCACCACAGATCACAATGTCATCTGCAAACATCATCGTCCACGGGGATTCTTGCCTGACCTCATCTGTTAGTCGGTCCATCACCAGAGCAAACAAGAGGGGGCTCAGAGCTGATCCTTGATGCACTCCCACCTCCACCTTGAAGCTATCTGTCACTACAGCACATCTCACCACTGTCCTGCTGTCCTCATACATGTCCTGCTGTCCCCATACATGTCCTG